CTAATAATAGGCCTTAACTCCAGTTAGTGTAAATAAGGTGATAGCTTCAAAAGTATAAATGCTATTTTAAAGGTGTCTGTGTCTCTTGAGTGGAAGCTTCTAGGAAACCTTCTGGCGTCACCTGTTAAGCAAGGTGAGGTCTGAGTTAATACTGGTTTGAGAGATCACTAGGGAATCACACGCAGCCTGTAGGCTAGAATAGAAAATTTAAAAAATCATACTGGATGAAGTGAGAGGCAAACCACTTATGTAGCAGTTATGAAAAGATCAAGATGTATCCACATATAGTCTACCTGAGGGAATCTTTATTTATTCAGAAATAAGTACCACTGCAGTCACCGGGGCTTATGGTCAGATCAGTATACGAAGCCACATTCAGATCTTTTGCTAGGCCCAATCAAAGTTGATATAAAATGCACCCTTTTTGCCCATCATATTTAATCCACATACTGTAACAAGCTACACCTAATGACCATCTTGAATAAATCAGGATTGGGCAAGTGGATTGCAATACCTGTCATTCATTACCCCTGACATTATGTGTATGTATGTGTACGTATAATGTGTGTGTGTGTGTGTTGGAAGTCAGCATCCACACACACACCCCCAGAAGGAAATATTTTGGGGGATATTAAAAGGCAGAATAATGGAGGGAAAAAAAAAACCTTAAAAGGCTTTTCTGCCCAAAACTGAGCAAGCCAGTGCTGTAGAAATGCAGATTTGATAATCCTATTCAAAAAAACTGGGGCCACCTATTCATAAGCAAAATGCCTTCAACCACAGCCCCAGAGAAACAGGACATGCCCTTTAGGACATAACAGAATTAACCCACCACCATTAGAATACCAAAAGGACACACTTAAGCTCATCTCAAAGTACATGCCACAGGAACAGGAAGAACCTAAAATACAAAGCCCAAAGAAGGTATAAAAGCCCACCTATCCCAGCTCCATTTTGTCAGCCACCCCAGAAACATGCAGTGTCACTGAAGTTTCTGGCAACTAAATAAACTGAACCTTCTTTCCTAAGCAATCTCCATTTTGTTTATTCCCAGCTTGGACTGGACCCTGATGAAGATCTTTCTTTCTTTCTTTCTTTCTTTCTTTCTTTCTTTCTTTCTTTCTTTCTTTCTTTCTTTCTTTCTTTCTTTCTTTCTTTCTTTCTTTCTTTCTTTCTTTTCTCTCTCTCTCTCTCTCTCTCTCTCTCTCTATATATATATATATATATATATANCCGCCGAGAAAGAAAACGGCGAGCGGCCCGCGGCTGTCTTCTCCCCCTCCCGGAAAACTCACCAGGGAGGGGGCAGATCCTCTGGCTCCTCGGGGGTCTCTCCTCTGGCTCCTTCGGGGGTCTCCGAAGCCCCCCCTCTACCCTTCTTCCACTCCATTTGTGCGGAGCTAAAGGGCAGCGTCCACCATCATGCAGACATACTAAATACAAATTAAAAGGTAAAATTGGGAACTACAAAAGTTGTGCACTTATGAATCTCATTTCCAATCAAAACATCCCCTTCTCTTAATACTGATAGCTTTTCTAAAGCCCCCAGTTTAGCGACATGCTTTAAATAAATAGTGCTATTTGACACATTTATGAAATTATTTGCTTATGGGGAGTTAAATAATTCCTCCATTCACGCTTACTTCAAGGAAAGACCTAATAATAGGCCTTAACTCCAGTTAGTGTAAATAAGGTGATAGCTTCAAAAGTATAAATGCTATTTTAAAGCTGTCTGTCTCTCTTGAGTGGAAGCTTCTAGGAAACCTTCTGGCGTCACCTGTTAAGCAAGGTGAGGTCTGAGTTAATACTGGTTTGAGAGATCACTAGGGAATCGCACGCAGCCTGTAGGCTAGAATAGAAAATTTAAAAAATCATACTGGATGAAGTGAGAGGCAAACCACTTCTGTAGCAGTTATGAAAAGATCAAGATGTATCCACATATAGTCTACCTGAGGGAATCTTTATTTATTCAGAAATAAGTACCACTGCAGTCACCGGAGCTTATGGTCAGATCAGTATACGCAAGCCACATTCAGATCTTTTGCTAGGCCCAATCAAAGTTGATATAAAATGCACCCTTTTTGCCCATCATATTTAATCCACATAACAAGCTACACCTAATGACCATCTTGAATAAATCAGGATTGGGCAAGTGGATTGCAATACCTGTCATTCATTACCTGACATTATGTGTATGTATGTGTATGTATAATGTGTGTGTGTGTGTGTGTGTGTGTGTGTGTGTTGGAAGTCAGCATACACACACACACACCCAGAAGGAAATATTTTGGGGGATATTAAAAGGCAGAATAATGGAGGGGAAAAAAAACCTTAAAAGGCTTTTCTGCCCAAAACTGAGCAAGCCAGTGCTGTAGAAATGCAGATTTGATAATCCTACTCAAAAAAACTGGGGCCACCTATTCATAAGCAAAATGCCTTCAGCCACAGCCCCAGAGAAACAGAACATGCCCTTTAGGACATAACAGAATTAACCCACCACCATTAGAATACCAAAAGGACACACTCAAGCTCACCTCAAAGTACATGCCACAGGAACAGGAAGAACCTAAAATACAAAGCCCAAAGAAGGTATAAAAGCCCACCTATCCCAGCTCCATTTTGTCAGCCACCCCAGAAACATGCAATGTCACTGAAGTTTCTGGCAACTAAATAAACCGAACCTTCTTTCCTAAGCAATCTCCATTTTGTTTATTCCCAGCTTGGACTGGACCCTGATGAAGATTTTTCTTTCTTTCTTTCTCTCTCTTTCTATATACTGTATATCAGTTAATCCTCTTAATTTGCATATTCTCTATTTTCAAAATTGTCTATTCGCTCAAATTTATTTGTAATCCCAAACTCAATGTTTGTGGTGCTTTCATGATTATTCATGGACATCTGCAGAAGAGGAAAGCATTTGAGTTGCCTGATGCACACATTCCCAGCTGAGGTCGAACAAGGCGATGCTCTGCCTGGTTTCAGCTCTTCTCCTATAAACAAGTGTCCTGTGTTTCCCCAAGGAGCAATAATTCAGTATTCACTAAATCACTGTACGTGGAATCTTTCTAAAACATCATTAGCATGAATATCTTGAATCTATTGTATTTGTGTCCATCTTTCAGTTAGTTTAAATGCCTGGCAACTTTCCCTACAAGTCCTGCAGTTTGCTTGGCAAGATTTCAGAAGTGCTTTGCTCTTGCCTGCTTCCTAGGGCTGAGACTGAGTGACTAGCCCAAGGCCACCCAGCTGGATTTGTAGTCGTTTAACCCCCACCCCAATCTGGCTCTCTCTTACAATTATTGCAGTGGTTCCTTATTTCTCCAAGTTGGAAAAATGGAGAAGAGTTTTGGAAAGGAATCCAGCTCTAGATTTTTTCCTCATAGACCTGATGGTTTTAAAAATAGATAACTAGGTTACATCCAAAAACCAGGTGACGGATAGATCGCCAGGAGAAAATCTAGCTACGTGATCACTAAAGAGTCGACACCAAATGGAAGGCACGCACAGGAAGTCCTCAACTTACAACTTAGTGACTGTTCAAACTTACAATGGCACTGAAAAAAGTGACTTATGACCGTTTTTCAGTTACAACCTTTGCAGCATCCCCATGAGCCATGTGCTCAAAATTCAGCTGCGTGGCAACCGGTTCATACTTATGGTGGTTACAGAGTCCCGGGGTCACATGATCCCTTTTTGCAACCTTCTGACAAGTAGTAAAGCCAATGAGGAAGCCAGATTCACTTAACAGCCAGGTTACTTACTTACCAACTGCAGTGATTCACTTAACAACTGTGGCAAGAAACGTGGCAAAATGGGGCAAAACTCACTTAAGAAAGTATCACTTAACAACACAAATGTTGGGCTCAGTTGTGGCCGTAAGTCTTAGGACTACCTGTAATCTGCTTCAGTTCTTTGAACCAGGGCTTTTCAACCAGTGGTACGGGTACCACCTGTGGTACATTGGCACCTGGCAGGTGGTACGCGAGCATCCTAGAAAAGTAGCAGGGGAGGGGAATGAGCTGAACCGGTGGCAGCACCGCACAAGCCTGAGTGAGAGATGGCTGGAGCTGCAGGGCTGTCAGGGCTCAGCGGAAGCGCCAGGATCAGCGCCAGGCTCCAGCTGGACCTCGGCACTGATTCTGATGCTACTGCTGAGCCCAGAAGAAGCGCCAATCAGCTGGAATGTTGCAGCCTCTCCAGGGTCTTGTGATTTACATTCAGATGCTTGGCAACTGATTCATATTTATGACAGTCACAGTGTCCTAGGGTCTTGTGAAGTGACCAAAACCTGCTGCAACCACTCAGCAGACGGGGAGAATAAAAACCAAACACCCCCCCACCCCACCCCCGCTGCCAATCCTCAACAGAAATGCTCACAACAATGGAAACCTCGGACAGGAGGAAGAGCGCCACAGGGTGGGCTTGCTCGGCTGTGGCTTGGGGGGCACTTTTTTCAGTGCCATTGTAACTTCGAACAGTCACTCAGCGAACTGTTGTAAGTCGAGGCCTACCTGTACTTTATCACATTTTTCCTTTTTTTGGGAGGGGGGGTCATCAAGTTTTTGACACCTTGCTAGGCGACTGGTGGTACTCGGTTGTTGCCATATCCTAAAAGTGGTACAATGGGTGAAAAGGTTGAAAAGCCCTGCTTTGAACCACACGCTGCCTCGCCGACTTTGCTCGGTGGAACTCGCAAGGAGGCCAGCTGAGTGGTACCATTCAACGCCTTCTATTTCGGCCGCTCCTCTTTAGGAGCCCGCTTTTCCGATCACTCGCTCGCTCTTCGTTTCCTTTCAGGGGCCGGTCCTGAAAGCGAAGGCCCGGAGAGGGCGGAGCGGGGCGGGGCGGGCTAAGGCGAGGCGAGGCCGGCCAAAGGGGGCGGGCCCGAGCCGGACAGAAAGAGGCTTTTCTCAATGCAGGCTGGAGGAGAGGCGGCGCGACGTTGTTTTGTCGCCGCGGATTAACTCGGCTGCCTTCGAGGCGACGTCCCTCCGAGCACCATGAGCGCGTCGGGGCTGCCTTGGAGCATCGACAGCGGCGGGTCGGGGCTGCCTCCGCTGCCCAAGAGCCTGAGCGGCTTACTGAATTCTTCTTCCAGCGGAGGCGCCCCTGGCGGAGCCGGAGGGCGCTGGAGAGACCTGGAGCGGCTCTACGCGCAGAAGTCTCGCATTCAGGACGAACTGAGCCGGAGAGGTAGCCGCGGCGGCGGCGGAGGGGGGCGAGGATCTCCTCGCCCGCCGAAGCCCCCGAACCTCGACGCCGCCTTGGCCCTGCTCCGTAAAGAGATGGTGAGTAGGCGGCGGCGGCGGCTGCCAAGACCGCCCGGGAGCTGCTGGGCGCACCGCCGCGAAGAAGCGGCGCATTCCTGGGCCAGGAAAACTGTGTCCTTGGAACATTTTTGGATCTTTATTTCCCCCTCCTCCCCCGTGCACTTTCATGAAATGCTGTGCACCGAAACTCCCTCGGTCAAGCCAGGGCTTTATTCAGCCCCCGAGGGCAAGGCCAGCCTTGGCTTTAGCAAAGTGAGAAGCCAGGCGAGCAAATCGGAGCAAATTCAGCCTCTTTCTTCGGACGGCTCCCTTGAGGGCAGCCCTCGATATTCGCGGCTGGCACCTCGTGCAGATTTCTGCTCCGTAGAAAGTGTCGCCGGCGCGAAACGCGTGGCTGAATAAACAAGGCGGTTGCAACTTGTCTCCCACCTTAAAAAAATAATAATCATCGCTACACCTCAAATTGGTGTATCTAACACGCTTAGAAGCTGTTGTTTTTTTTTCCAGCCTCGGGGGTCTCTGATATTTCTGGCTTGCAGTTGTTTTTTTTAATTATTTCTAAGCCAGAGGGTGGGTTGCTTGGAAACTTTTGTGACAGTTTTAAAGCGCAGAATTCTTTGAATGCGAGATGCTTCGTGAACGTTAAGTTAGGCTAGGAAAAGCAGAACCACCCTCCCCAGTTATAATGCTGCAGTGCACACTGGGCAGAGTAGCGGTTGAAAGAGAAGAGCTTTCAGCTGGGACCTTGCAAGCTCCAGTCAAGTTTCTTCAAGTTTACATTGGCACAGGAGTGGGGAAGGGGGGTGGGTGGATATATTACAAGACAGGCTGCTTCAGAATTTACTCAGAAAGTAGATGAAGGGCTTTAATTCTTGTAACGCATTACAGGATATAAATACTAGAGGGGTTTGGACAATAGCCAGCCCCATTTTCTATTGAAATAATTTAAGAAAATGAGATGGTGCCCTGGTTGTAGAAGTTCTTCCTCAGGAGGGTTAGATTATTTTCCACTTTGCTGCCTTCTAAAACTCTTATTTAAGATCTTTTTTAAAACCCTGCCACTACCACCACCACCATCATCATCATTAAACTCAAGATGGCAAATACATCTACTATCCCTTTCTTCTCCTATTTCCCCCAAAACAACAACCCTGTGAGTAACTTTGGCTGAGAGAGAATGATTGGTCCAAAGACACCCAGCTAGTTTTTATGGCTAAGACTGGAGTGGAACTCACAGTTTCTTGGTTTCTAGCCTGGTGCCTTAATCACTAGACCAAACTGGCTCTTTTAAATCAAATTTGTTGAGCTTTTTTGTGTTAATCTTGGATGCAATAAGCTTTGCTTTTACTTCCCCCCCCCCATCTCTAAGATGGAAATGATTATAAACTGCTTTAGAGCAGTCAATTAATTCCTGGCTGGGGAATTCTGGGAGTTGAAGTCCACTTATTTTAAAGTTGCTATAGCTAACAAATGTTCTTTTAGACTTTTGAAAAGTGTAAGCAAAAATTGCTTAAACAAAATTAACAATTATGGCCAGACTTGGAAAATTTCTTAGCTGTACAGGAGTTTAATTGGTCTGTGAAGTTTAAAAAAAACACACTAAATTAACTTAAAATTATTTTAACAAATCACCCTTCAGATATATATAAGAGTCTTGGCAAGAGAATAGAAGCTGCTGTTGGAAAAACCCAAGCCAATGTCTCCTTGAGTCTGTGGAACTGGTTGTGCTATTCTTTGGCCTGTGGTGTAGTTACTTAGGTAGTTATTATCATCTCTTAACAACAAACCAGGGATAGTGACTGTAATGTTCTGCCTGGAGTTCAAAGAAAGTAAAAACCTAATGCAAAAATCTCAGCAGGATGGAAAATCTTAGGTTTCTGATGTCATCTAAAAGATGTTTTGACAAGACATCCTTTCATTTTGACTCCGTTTTTTTTTCTCCCATTCTCCAACACTCACTCTTTTTTTCTAAATAGGAAACAGAAACTAAATAGGAAATTTGAAAGCTCTTTTTCCTCTTAAAACAATGGAATGTAATTTTATCTATCAGTTCCTCTAGATAAATTCTGTTCCAATTGGAATTCATTTTTCATCCTGTCTTCTTCCTTAACGATGTTCTTATTGTGCATAGACTATCTTTCTTTACTCTCTTCAGATTTTGAATTAGAGTTATTTTATTGTGGTTTGGAAAATGGAATGTGACTTCGTGGACATCTTTGGTTCTGTCTTTTGAAGTGTGGTGCATTGGCTTTTGCTTTATGCAGGAATGGTCCCTGGGCTGCCTGACAGCTGTAAATTTACATTGGTTTTCAAACAAGCAGTCAGTTTACAGATTAAAATATAGGGAGTATGCTATATTTCAGAGCAAATATGTGATGGAAGACAGGACTAACTGACTTAACTCTGAATCACAACCCTGGCTTTCCATTTGACTGAAACTGTATCTCAATAACAATGAATTTTTTTATTGTCATGGGAAAAAAAAAAATTCAACGTTCTAGTCTAAAACATTTTCTGTGTTTAAAATGTGTGGCTTTAACCAAAGGAAGAGTTCCAAAGTAAACAAGTTTTCCACTTACAGTGAAGTGAAATAGGATTTAATTATTAGGTTAACTTAAAGCCTTTGTGTTGGATCTGACATGAAATTCCTGAAGGCAACAGTGATTTATTCCTGCCTGGCACACCTCTGATTAAGCAGTCTTTTTTCTTAGTCATTACAACTCCCTCTCATAGACCGATACATGTCCCTACATAAATATGCACCATTCATTATCATTTTAAATCTAGCTAGCTCAAAATGTGATTAAAAGGCATTTTCTCTTTGTAATATTTGTGGCGTGGTGCTGTCAGCCTAGAAATAAAAGCTTCTGGAAATATAATCTGAATGCATAATGATGATGTAGTGGAATGAAAGAAGTGGCAGAGCTAATACATACTTTCTCCCTAACAAAATCCACCCTCATAGCAAATCTGTCAAAACTCGCCAGTCACGGTCAGTGTACTGATGACTTCTTCAGTTTCAGCATAACAGGAGAAACATGCCTTAGATCTCATCTCAGTTTAACTATTCCATTCATCAGGTGAAGTGAACTACAGTTCCCACATGTTTAGGCCTTTCAATACAAAAATCAGAATAATCAAATTGGACTCCTTCTGATTTCAAGAAATGCAATTTTCTCTTGGTGTACGTTGGGATACCACTCAGCATTTCCCACCTACTAAGCAGATGGGAGCACTAGACAGAAGATCTAGGTTTACCTCTAAAAAAGCTAAGCAAGTCTACTTAGATAGGAGGCCACCAGAACATTCTTAGGCATGAGACAATGTGGGAAGTAAATGTCAAATCACTTTTGTATTGTGGCCAGGTGTTAGCATGACTTAAGGTAATATTTACCTTTTTCTTGAGAAAGTGACAATTTTCCTCTTTTCCCACTAAGACAGTGTCAAACTGGTGGCCTGCGGGTTGGATGTATCACGCGCAGGCCACGCCCACCCTGACTCCGCAAAGGCAAAAAAGTCACAATATGTCACAATACGTCACGTGACGTGATCAAGTTTGACACCCGTGCCCTAAGATAAAAGGAGTAAAATTCCTCTTGGATGTTTGTTTCTGGAGTCCCTCAACAAAAATGATGCATTCAGATAAAGACTTCAGATGTATACATAGAAATCTATATAGTTAATTATGAGTAGTGGGTACTTCCAAGGATCTGTTGTTTCTGAAGCCTGCTTCTTTGTACCAAGTACATTTTTCCAAGAAAATCCTCCTGCGTATGTGAAAATTTCTGAATATGATATGCTGTATTATTTAAGACAGATTTTTTTTGCAGGAGAAGTTGAATGTAAAATAACATGTGGCATAATGGGAAAATTTGCCTTGATGTACAAAATGAAGTGAGACACTGACAGAGTGTTACCATGAAAATTCAATCAAAATTCAAAATTTAAAGCAAATATCTTCTTTCAAAAATTGAAAAGACAGCTCTACATATGGGCATAATTGGATGGACAATAGCAAAATCAAATTGGTTTATGTACGTGCACACAAAGTTTGGGAAGCTCTATTCGGACAGGAAAAAGAAAAAGACCTGATATTGACTATGGCTTAAGATCATGAAGTCGTTCTTGCAAATTTATACAAAAACAAATAAATCCTCTGACCAAGAATACACCCTTAGCAATATTTCCTATGATTATGCGGTGACGATGAAGAATAATATGAAGGGATTACAGATAGTCCACAACTTACAGCCATTCATTTACTGACTGTTTGAAGAGTGGTTTATGATCAGTCCTTGTACTCAGAACTGCGGCAGCATCCCCAGGGTCACATGATCATACTTGGGGCACTTGGCAACCGACATGTATTTATGACGGTTGCAGCATCCCAGGATCCCAGTTGCTATTTGTAAATTTTCCAGCCAGGCTAAATCAACGGGGGAAGTTGGATTTGCTTAACGGCTGTGTGATTCACTTAACAACTGCAGTGATTCGCTTAATAACTGTAGCAAAAGGTCATAAAATTGGGCACAATCACTTGGCAACTGCCTAGCTTAGCAATGGAAATTCCGGTACCAATTGTGATCGTGAATCAAGAACCACCTGCATATTTGACAGAGTGCCCGAATAATTATATACTGAAATTCATCTGATATTGAAGATGAAGCAAACAAAAATATATACTGAAAATAGATGAAGAAAGGTGGAAAGCAAAACTAAAATCCAAAGAATAGCAATAAGAGACAAGGAGGTATGCAACACACACAAAAAATAACTTACAATGGACAGGACAAGAAAATTAGAGAAATCGGGGGAACATTGTATTAAAAAAGTGGCCATGTTAAGACCATAAGGGACATAAAAAGGAATACGATAAAATGAAGGGGGAACATATACTCGTGTTTCCCCGAAAATAAGACCGGGTCTTTTTTTTTTTTTTTTACCTCCAAAAGAGGCACCAGGTCTTATTTTCGGGGGATATCTTACTCACCTCCGGCATTGACAGCCCAGCCCAGCAGGTCCACTTCTTCTGGGGCCGAAGGAACAGCTTCATTCTGCAGCTGCATTCTGTCCTGCAGGAAGGCCTCTGCAGCTGAGTACTGAGCTATGGATAGAATCCATAGCTCGGTTCTCGGCTGCAGTGGCCTTCTGGAAAGGCCTGTGACTGAGAAATGCAGGCCTGGCTGCAGAAGAAGCTGCAGAAGAAGTGGGCCGGTGAGAAGAGGCCTGGCTGCAAGTTAAGTGGGTGCGAGGTGCGTGGGCAGCTCCACCCTCCCACCCCCCACCCTAGGTGTGTGCCTTGCCCCAAAACTAGGGTTTATTTTTGGGGTAGGGCTTATATTAGGCCCACCCCAAAAAATCAAGCTAGGACCTATTTTCGGGGTAGGCCTTACTTTCAGGAAAACACGGTAGAACTGTAGAGAAAAAATCTCAAAAATAGATACAGTATGTATGAAAGTTTCATCACAACTAGAGTGGGTCTGGAAAGGTAAACAGCCTTTAGAAAATATTGCTAACAACTTAGTCGCAGAAGTTCATGAAATATTAGGATAACTATTTACAATCTTATAAGATGATGGAGCTTGTGCTACTTGTGGTTTTTAAATAGATATCAAAAACAGCAATAACCAAGAGACTGGAAAAGATAATTTATATTCCAATACCAAAAAGATCAGTGCTAAATAATGTTCTATTTAATATTTGCACTTACATCAATACTAATAAGACAGTACTGTACTTAAGGTTTTGCCATCTAGATTTTAACCACACAGAGAATGACAACTGTCAGATGTACATGTTGGATTCAAAACAGGCAGCTGAGATCACATTGCTAATATCCAATGAATAATGGAAAAGGAAAGGGAGTTTCAAAAATATGTCTGTTTTTATTTAGGATTTTTTTCTTTCTGTAGGTTCCATTCTAACTTTGCTTCCTGATCATCTTTAATAGGCAGCTGAGGTGGCCGAATTTACCATGTTATTAAGAGTATCTACAAGTACACTTGTGCACTTGGCAAATTGCCTATTAAAGATGATCAGGAAACACAGTTAAGACAGAATACAGGAAGTCCTCAGGATATGATGCAATTGGGACTGGAATTTCTGTCACTAAGTGATGCAATCCTAAAGCATGATGCCACATGACCACATTGCTTATCAACAGCAATCTCAGAAGTCCCTGTTGCCATTGTTAAGTGAGGATTGTAGATCATTAAGCAAGAGATGGGAAGAGATACCGAAACTGCTCTAAGCAAGCAGGCTGTTGGGCAAAGCTATGAGTTGGTAGGCAAGAGCCACAGGTGAGTGCCACAGAGTGCGGGCAAGTGGGTGCTGTGAGTGGACACTGCAGAACACAAGATGCCCATGCCACCCAGGGTTCCTTGGAAGAAAAAGCAGTGGGAATGGGAGTGACTTGCAACCTCTTGCCAGCTTTCCCATTGACCCTGCTTGTGGGGAGCTGGCAGGGAAAGCCACAAGGGATCAAATGACCATAGAACACTGCAACTGTTGTAATTACGAGTCAGTTGTCAAGTGCCCTAATTGTGATTGTGGGAACACTGTGATGGCCGCAACTTCTAGGACCGATTGTAAGCCCCCCCTCATTTAGCATTGTCATAAAGACTATGATAAATCTGGAAAAATATTGAAGTGCAAAGACATCTTGACTTCAAAAGTATGTTTTGTCAGGGCTATAGCCGTAACATACAGTTCTGAAAGTGGGATCATCAGAAAGCTTGAATAAAGGTAAATTGAGGACTATGTATTGTGCTTCTGGGGAAGATGGCCGATGACACTGGACTGGAAGAAGAAGAAGAAAAATCATTGGATCCTAGATGAACTAAAGTTAGACTACATATCAAAAGCACTAATAATGAGGCTAAAGCTGACATACTTTGCACACTTAATGTAAACACAAGAGTAATAGGAGACGATCCAGTTGTTTGGAAAAATCAGAGCCTTTGAAGAGGCTGACAGCAGATAAGGTGGCTAGATATTATCTCTGATGACATAAGCACCACCACACAAAAGTTTGAAGATCTGAACCTATACAATGATTGAATAACAAAAGGCAACTGGTTATCGCCAAATGTTTTGGGCTACAAATACCTTAGTCAATAGTCAGGTACTCTGGAAATTGCAGTCCAAAACAACTGGAATAAATAAATTGCCTAACTCTCATCTAAGAGATACTGTCTAACTGGCAGCAATTAAAACCAAAAACTCATATTTGTGTTTTCCATTCCTTCCTCTCAATGCAGTCATTGAAGCTATTTGTTCAGATGCAAATTACCCCCCAAACAAGCAGTCATTTTTAACAAGGATGGGAAAAGAATAGGACTCTTTATCCATTTAAAACTTTCTTGGATCAAAATGTTAAGCTTTTTACGTTTAAATTAAAATCCTTCAAAGTAGCATTTTTTTCTCTCTGCTTAATCTCAGAAAGAAGGCGCCTGCTTTGATTTTTCACTGCTGTTTGGAATATCTGTCTTTAGTTGTAAATGAGTTAAATCCAAAGGTATTTAAGAAAGGCTTTTGCCAGTCAAATGTCTGGCAAATGTCCAAATATTGTAGTTCAGTCTTCCTGTATAATTGACAGGCATACTGGTTTTATTATTTTATTTTTTTTGAGGAGGAGGATAAAATCATTGTGGTAGGAAAAATACGCATGGGCCAACATCTTATAGATAAAATCAAGTATAATATTAACATGTGTTTTCTTTCTTACTAGGTTGGCCTCCGGCAGCTGGATATGTCATTACTGTGTCAACTCTACTCTCTTTATGAGTCAATTCAGGAATATAAAGGTGCCTGCCAAGCAGTATCAAGTGCAGACTGTGCATATGCACTGGAAAATGGCTTTTTTGATGAGGAAGAGGAATTTTTTTAGAATGAATATTTCTTAGAAAAGCCTTTTTTTTGGGAGTGCAATGGAGTTGGCAGTTAAGAGATGAGCGATGTTTAATTGGAACTCAAAGTACATTCTTCCTTCTGCTCAAGAAGAATTGCTCCATTTATTTCCGGCATGCTGTTTAACCCAAGTTACACATTATGTAAATCCTGCTCTAGGAAAGTAATGTGCAATGAATGTTGAAGCCTCCCAAAGCATTCTTGACAGGTTATGTCAGTGTAATTTGTGCACGGGGTGTTTCTAGATGGCAGATGTTGACAGCTATCTTTGTATAAGCAGAAGCCTGGCATTGTACACCTCATCTCAAATATTCTGACATGTAAGATGTAGTTATATAGTTTGTATGTTTGTAATCACTGAATAGATCTCTCCATAAACAACACCTTTTTAAAGCCTCTGATCTGTGGGATTGGAGTTCTACCTGTTTTATACCATAAAGGATGAATTCTGTAACATCTCAATAGTTTAAACTTCTTCCAACGTTTTTACTTGGGTTGATGATCCAGTTCCCTTTCTTTCTTGCTAATGTCAGAATGACTTATTTAAACCAGTGTAATAAAATTGTGTAACGCTTCCTATATTTTTACTCAAATGCAATAAGAACAAACCAGAGCAGCTCATTGTACACCTTGCAGCTCCATTAGCTTCCATAACTGTAATTTAGTTGTTCATTGTCCAGTTAATAATTTAAGTTTAACATACATGGATTAACAACATCATTTGTAATACTAAAATGCTTGGAAGAGAAATGGTCAGTTTGTCTCTTACGGTCCAAAAAGACCTTAATGTGTATGTTATTATATACAGTTTTGTGTTTTTTTGTACTATAACAAATGAATGTTTGAACTGGAACTGTAATTTGTTAAGCTTTTTCATGGACATGTAATTTAGCACTTGGAGGTAGCCAAGTGGCTGCCTTGGTGGACTAAATTCAGAAACCCACAGCCTACCTCACATGAAGAAGTTTATAGCAACCCCGAGCAGAAGATGGAAACCTTTGAACTGGTCTTGTGCATAATGGTCAGAACCTGATTGGTTTCAGCTTCCTGGAATACTTTGGTAATTGATATATGCAGAAGGAAAGTGTTTTGCCATGCAGGAATATGATACCATGTAAGTAAGTGATTTGTTTTCATGTGGATGTCCTATTTTAAGATTTGGAAACGTATTTTCAACCTCAAAGGAGAAAACGGAAATGACAAATAATAAATCTTCAAGCTTGTTAACTTTGGATGTGTCCAAAGGGAACAACAAAATGTGTAAAAAGGACAATCACATTCATACACTTATAAAAGCAGCTTCTTTAATCTATTGCATTGCTGTATTGTACACTACGCCCATCCCTGTTATGTCATCCTACCAGGTCTGTCACCAAATATCTCTGTTCTCCTGCACATTAAAAAGAGATCTCTGCTTTCAAAACCCAACTGAGTACAAAAAGAATTTGCCATATTGGGGAAGTGGGTGGCATATAAATATAATATATAAATAAAGAATAATAGCCTAGCAAGCAGCCCTACCCACTCAACTCTTTTTGGAACAGGGTATTTTTACTGGCCTTATTTTTTTGTCCCGATTGACTCCATCAATAAAATTGGGGAAATTGAAGATGACACCAGTTGCTGAAATCATTTATTTATTTAGCATATGATGGCTGAAATCAATAGTACACTAGTTCTCTAGATTACTTATGGGTCGGCTTCCACTAAAATCAGTGGGATAAAATATATCCATTTAGGCTGAAACCAACCAATGTAATAAGGATTCAAAAAAAAAACATCGGTTATCCTCCAGATATTGATGAACTGTAATCCTCATCCTGCTCAGTATTGAGAAGACTGGACAAGTATGCTGGCAAGTATAGATCTGCAATTTGTGACAGGCTGTGTTTCTACCCTGGCAAATATGTTCTCTATTTGTGGTCTTTATTTATAACATGTAAAGGCTTCCAGACTGATAAAGAGTTCAGAGACTCTTCTTTTAGGTCCCTTTGTTACCAATGAAATAGTTCTTGGCCCAGAAGACGGAAGTTAGAAAATAAAGAAGTTTCCACATAAATGCTTTGATATACAGTATTGGTTTAAGAGGGAGAATAGTTCATTGACAGAATTCTTGTAACCCTGTCCTCTTTTATCCAGTAACTCTTGTTAAAGAAACTGAAACTTGCACATGGGGGAAAAAACACTTTTGATTTTGGCAGATGCCAAGAGTCTGAAATAAAGCTGTTTTTAAGGAGCAGTTATGCCAGTTACACTGATTTAAAAAGGCTAATGATGTCTTCATTTGTTAGAATGGTTTTCCCCAGCCTTAGCACTCTCTGGATCCATATTCTAGAAAGTTTAGTCAGCACAGACAAAGGCCAATTCACCTGGGAATTCTGGGAGCTTGTTTCAGAAAATAACTGGTGAAACCAGGGTGGGAAGATAGTATCAGAACAACCGCAAAACGCATCATGTTGATTTAGGGGTTGCTCGACCAATGCATAAAAGATATGCACAACTGCGGCTTAAGAATGGCAATCCAGATGATTTGGTGTTTTTTTTATAGAGGAACCGTTTGAAAGAGGTAGAATTTTAATAGATGAAATAGAGAATTATGGAACGGTGGCGGGACTAAAAATAAACAAAGAAAAGACTAAAATATTAGTTAAAAATTTAACTGAAAAACAAAAAAGGGCATTAGAAGAAAATTTGGGGTTGCAAATAGTAAAAAAGATTAAATATTTGGGAATTTGGCTCACCGCAAATGTTCCTCAATAAAAGAAGATAATTATAAAAAATTGGTATTATGTATACAAAAAGATTTAGACATTTGGGGGAAATTACAATTATCATTGTTAGGAAGGATTTCGGCGATTAAAATGAATGTTTTACCAAGAGTGTTATACCTCTTTCAAACAGTTCCAATAAAACTGGGGAATTTTTTTTGATGAATTAAATAAAATGATTAATAAATTTATATGGCTAGGTAAAAAAGCACGAATAAATGCTAAAGCGTTACAGCAGCGGTTCTCAACCTATGGGTCGCAACCCCATTTGGGGTAGATCGACCATTTCACGGGGGTCGCCAAGCAAGGCTGTCTGCCATTTTTTCCCCACTTTTCCGGCAGGTGCCTTAGCTCCCTTGGGCTGGGCCAGCTGGTGGTCGGCCTGCTCCGTCTCTGCTGCTTGCCAGCTACGCCTCAGCCAGCGCAGGGGGCGGAACCATGCATGCGCGGCGCTCCCGGACAGGGAAAGTCCTCAACTTACGACCGGTTGGGTAGTCCTCGACTTACGACCGGTTTAGTCCTCGACTTACGACCGGTTTAGTCCTCGACTTACGACCGGTTGGGGGTCGCGGCATTAAAAAGGTTGAGAACCACTGCGTTACAGGATAGTAGAAGTAGAGGTGGCCTTGGACTCCCAAAATGGGAAACATACTACCAAGCAGCTGGATTGCTTTGGATCAGTGACTGGATAAATTTAGAAAATAAAAGGGTCCTTACAATTGAAGGTCACGATCTACAAGTTGGATGGCATGCTTTTTTATGGGGGAAAGATAAGAAAATTCATACATATTTCTTCCGACATCAGATAAGGGATGCATTAATTTGGATATGGGGAAAAATTTAAAAAAAATATTATACGAAAATTCCAATTTGGATTTCATCAATGGAGGCGATGATTCATCCAAACACATTAGATAAAACAAAAATGATTAGGTATAAAGAATTATTAGATAACCAAGGGAAGTTAAGATCAAGAGATGAATTAAAAGAACAGGGAATAATTATTGATTGGTGGCCATATGCACAGATAAAATCAAAATATAATAAAGATATAGAGGAGTATGGGATATATCAAACATTACAGCAATTGGATAAAATAAAGGGAGAATTTTTTTTAACAAAAACCTATAAACTCCTACTAGAAATTGAATTTGAAGAAGAAATAGTAAAGGGCCCCAGATAGCATGGGCCCGAAATATAGGTAGAAATCTAGGACTAGATGAATGGGAAAGAACATGGAACGTAAATTGCAAATTAACGTTGTCAACTGCGTATAAAGAAAACCAAATTAAAATGTTTTACAGATGGCATCTAGCACCGGCGAGATTGGCTAAAATTTATAAAAATATGAATCTAGATTGTTGGAAATGCAAAAATAATGAGGGAACATTCTACCATATGTGGTGGCAATGCCCCAAAGCAAAAATCTACTGGGAGCAGATAAGAAGATGGCTACTGGAAATAACAAAACAACAAATTGAATTCAAGCCCGAAATATTTTTATTAGGTATAATTAATCCAAAAATTGAAAAACGACTCCAATACATCATTATACATATTATAACGGCTGCACGTATTGCATATGCGCAACATTGGAAAAGTGAAAACATACCGTACCAACAAATGCAAAGATTATAGGAAAGATTTTAGACTGTGCAGAGATGAACAAACTAACCTTAGAAATGAAAGACAAAGAAGTTACTGAATTTTACAAGGTATGGGACATGTATTCTAGTTGGTTAGAATTGAGGAATAAAAAAGTAAGAGAAGTAATGTAAATAATTGTTAATAAACGTAAGAGATATAGGAGATAATATTGTTAAGGGAAAAGGAAAATGTATTGTGTATTGTGTATTTTGTCTGTTTGAAAAAATAAAAATAAAAGAATTATTTAAAAAAAAAGAATGCCAATCCAGCAGTTCTACAGTAACTGCTTGAACAACTAAACCAAAACGTTCCATCTATGCCAACCTGCAACTATTACAGAATGTCTAATGAGGGATGTGAACTGTAGAGGATATGTTAAAAAATCACTGATATGGATTCTAATAGCGTACAGTCTCAAATGTTGAACCTTGTTTATTGTCTTTAACTTTGTCAGAAGGTCACAAAAAGTGATCATATGACCTCAGGACCATCAAAAATACATGCCAATTGCCGAGCATCTGAAACCTGATCATGTAACCATGGAGTTCCTGCAACGGTTATGTGAAAAATGTCATAAGTAACATTTTTGCCACCGTAACTTTGAATGGTCACAAAATGAATGGTTGTAAGTGAAAGACTATCTGTATTAGTTATACTCCAATAGGCTCTTTAAAATCTGAAGTGTCATTGCAAGAAATGGTAACATCAGGACCTAACTTGCATAAGGATTTTAAGATTACAGACTGCAATAGTCTTACAAGGGAAAAATACAATTGCTGAACGTATTTCTTTTGTTGTATGTTTTTTTTAACAATATTATTGTAGGAAATTAAAATGACAGGAAATCCGTATCCTATTGTTTGAACTTTGTGGAAAGTTCACTGTACATCTGAAAGAAATCTTGAAAAGTTGTATTAGCCCGTCCTGTGTCCATTTATCTGACACAAAAGCAGCTACAACTTCCTGGCTATATGAAATCCAAAAAGGAAATGAATTATAGCTTTTCCTTGGTATTCAGACAGCTGATTTAAAATAACCGACTATAGACCAAACCCCTAGTCCAATGAGCTACGTGCACTATTTCAAATTTATATGTTACACGATTACTTATTTCCTGCTCTCCCAACTTTTAAACAGTGCACAGTGCACATATCTGAAACAATGGATATGCTAATTCAGCTTTCACAAAAACCAGAAAAATAAAATTTAGATAAAACTCTCTATATTCCTATTTGAACGGAAGGGCTTGCTTAGGGAAGGGCTATTTTGTAGGCCTTCCAGCAGGAGGTCCCTGATATAGGGGTTGTCCTTCCCAGCCACGTGTTATGACCAGTAGGATAATAAGGCCTGAATCCCGTCTGTCTGCTTTGGCACTGACAACAGGGAGAATATGGCTGCCTAAATCTGTTTTCAATCTGAGTACATTATTTCTGTCATTTGGCGGTGTGTGAGCATTGCTGCCACCACAATTTCTAATTGGTTGAGATCAATCAACTGTTTGTGAATGTTGAAATACTTTTTTTTTCTTTCTGAATAAAAAATGCAATGGGTATTCTGTAAGCAATTCTCAATCCACTGGACTCAAAACTAGCAAGTATTGTACAATAGGCTATTTACAGAGATACACAGATTTCAATGGTTGAATATAGTAAATAGTTAACAAGGTCCAGCCTGTATGACGCTGTGGTTAAAATGGTAATCTAGGACCAAAAGGACACAAGTTCTTTTGATGGTGGATCTTTTGGCAAAAGCATCTAGACTCATCTGTTTAATTTGGCCTTTTACATTACTGCACTATATGCTCATCAGGCCAATAAAATACTGTCAAGTATTCTGTCATGTCCTAAAGTGCTGTTGGAAGCAAATCCTCATTGTTCCTTCCTGTTTTGCCAATAACAGGAAAACTAAATATCCTGCCTACATTTAAACCAATTGGGCACTACAGTAGATCCAGCAAATCCACAGGTCTCCCCAACACAATCACATTCTCTTTGGGGGATTTCCAAAGTTGGGAGGGTCCTATTCCCAGCAAATGATGGCCTTGAGTAGGAAGGAAGAGAGGGAATTCCCCAATCTGTGTTAATCTTGCCAAAACTGATTAATATGGTAAAGTGTTACCTATCCAATTTTCAATGCATGAATTCAGTAAATATACATATTGAAACCTTTAACCAAATAAGATTTTAGGCCATACTACATATTTATTTACTCGGCAGAATCTTGGACCAGCTAGTGACTTATTTGCTGCCAAACAGAGAAAGAGTAGTTTTTCCTCTTAATGACCTATCAGCTTATCTATAAAATGTAAATTCTGCTGCTAGGAACACATTCCTATGAAGCTACCCAAAGTTCAAATTGCTCAACATGTTGTCTGGTATTATTTCTACAGACATCTAGCATTCTTTTCCAATTCAGAAAAAAACAGACAAAAGAACAGAATCTTAGGAAAGCCAAAGAAATGGCTTCCTGCTGCGAAATATCCCTCACATACATATTATATACGTATCTTATGTTAGTATTTTAAAATTTAGTCCAGATTTGTTTGGGATGAGCTATATTTTATTTTCTTTTTTGTCCTCCCTACCATATTTCAATAGTATAAAGGAATACAAATATGATTTAAATCTACATGTGTGATTTTTTTTGCATTTTCTAATATAAAAAATAGTACAGAGAAAGATATTCTATTGTCGTAACTTTTCTGATAAACTGAGAGTTTGTACATCTCTTCCTTCCCCACCTTCAACAATTCCTTAATCTGAAATCTTGTATATTTTCCTTAGGGTAACTCCATTAAGAAAGACAGTTTGGTGTAATGGTTAAGGCATCAGGCTAGATCAGCGGTTCTCAACCTATGGGTCGCGACCCCATTTGGGATCGATCGACCATTTCACGAGGGTCGCCAAGCAAGGCTGTCCGCCATTTTTTCTCCCCTTTTCCGGTGGGTGCCTTACCTCCCTTGGGCTGGGCCAGCTGGTGGTCGGCCTGCTCCGTCTCTGCCGCTTGCCAGCTACGCCTCGGCCGGCGCAGGGGGCGGAACCACGCATGCGTGGCGCTTCCGGGCAGGGAAAGTCCTTGACTTACGTCCGGTTGGGTAGTCCTCGACTTACGACCGGTTTAGTCCTCGACTTACGACCGGTTTAGTCCTCAACGTACGACCGGTTTAGTCCTCAACTTATGACCGGTTGGGGGTCGCGGCATTAAAAAGGTTGAGAACCACTGGGCTAGATAGTGGAGAACTGTGAATTCTAGTTCCATCTTGGGTATGAAACCAGCTGAGTAACCTTGAGCCAATCACTCTATCTCAGTTCCAGGATGGAGGCAATAGCAAACCACTTCTGAAATCCTGACATGAAAACTGCAGGGACTTATTTAGGCAGTCACCATCGGTAACAATTACTCAAAGGTACCAAACTACTACAACAACAAAAACCCCAACAACTATTAAACACAATTGAGTTGTTGGTTTTTTTGAATAATACAGGTTTGTATTGTTACATCAATAGCAATATAGGAAACTATAGGAAGCAGCTGTAGGCCATCCCAAAGAGGCAGCATATTTGGAGCCTGTTGGCCTGTGGATAATAGCAATAGCAATAGCACTTAAGACTTATATACCGCTCCACAGTACTTTACAACACACTCTGAGCAGTTTACAAATGTCAGCATATTGACCCCAACATTCTGGGTCTTCATTTTATCCACCTCGGAAGGATTAAATGCTGAGTCAATCTTGGGCCGGTCAGGATCAAACTTCTGGCTGTGGGCAGAGTTAGCCTGCAATACTGCATTTTAACCACTGTGCCACCATGGCACCATGGATAAAGCACCGAGATGGACATCTCACTTTTTTCATTATGCATCAGCAGATAGAAAATGCAGAAGCTTTGCCTCTTTATCTCTGACTGTTCTAACTTTGGCTTAGAGTCAGGATTTTTCCTCTTTATTCCTCCATTCCTGCAGAGCACTAAGAAAGTAACAGGAAGAAGTACAAAACCCCTTATGTTAAATTCAGGGCAATGAGATCCTGAATAGACAGGGTGAAAAAGGCTGAGGCAGAAAATGTTATAGCATGTCATTCCTGCACAGGTTATATACTTTGATCCTTTAATCATTAGAATTCACTGACTTGGTAAGACCAAAAGCCAATTCTCAAAATAGCTCCTGCCTCCTGTATAGTAGCTTATTAGCTATTCAGGAAAAATGAAAGTTCAGTATTGTATTTATCTAATATCTAGATTTGACCTGATTTTCTGAAACTTAAAAAAACTTTTAACAATTAACTTTCAAAATATAATTACAGGTAGTCCTCAACTTACAATAGTTCATTTGGTGACCATTCAAAGTAACGGCACTGAAAAAAGTGACTTAGGACAGTTTTGCGCACTTACCACCATTTTACTATCCCCACGGTCACGTGATCAAAATTCAGATACTTGGCAACTGACTCATATTTATGACAGCTGCTGTGTCCCAGGGTCATGTGAGCACGTTTTGTGATTTTCTGACAAGCAAAGTCAATGGAGACACCAGATTCACTTAATAACTGTGTTACTAACTTAATAACAGTAATTCACTTAACAACTGTGGTAGGAAAAGTCATAAAATGAGACAAAACTGACTTAATTCATTTAGCCACAGAAATTTTGGGCTCAATTGTCATAAGTTGAAGACTACCTGTAATCATAACACTCCTTCTTTGTCATTATTCAAACCAATTCCAGGGCAGGATGTATGAGGGTTCCTTTCTCCCTGTTCTTCCTTCCTTTTCCCTTCCCGTCCCTTTTCAGTAGGCAGGTAAATGGCTGATTCTGGATGGGGCATAGACCAAGGAATTGTGAGACTGGCTGGGAACTGTCACAGACCTTTGAAAATGAAGATTACATGACTATAACAGGAGCCCAGCACTATAGCAGGAGCCAATAAAACTGAAACAGCCACAAGTTCTCTATATTTCATTCCCTTGGGAGTCATATGTCCTGGATTTGGGACATATTTTGTAAGTTAGCCCACTTGAGGTATCTTGTTTCAAAAACTGTTGCCCTATGATGCACCATTTTCATCCAGAAAATGTCATGATAATGAGAGTTTTGGTAGCACATGGATAAACTTTGTTCCTATAACTATTTCCAATAAAGTCTTTTATCACTTTCTTCCCAACAAGAATAGCATTGCTTAAAGTTTAACTGTTTAAGAGAGAGAATAATCTACTAATAGTTTTGTACATCCAAAACCTGCTTAGCTTTAAAATAATTTAAAGCAGACAATATTAGCTCTTATTATCCTGTACTAGCCTAAATTGATTCCAGCTTGGAACTGGAATGAAACATTCATATGAATTAGAACTTTTTTTCCTCAGTGATAGTCACACAATTTATTTCCCCTGGAACCATTTCAAGATAGATAATTTAAAAATATTTTTCAAATCACTTTAAATGCAGATTCAGTTCATATTCAGATAACTTCTGAAGCTCAGAATAAAATCATATAGATTTATTGTGGAGTAATTGTAGTTCTGTACACTTTTTCTGAGTAAACATCATAGGATGACATCGCTAAGCTTACTTTTAATGAAGCAATAACAACATTAAGCAGTATTTGTTCAAGCCTTTGCATACGTCTATAACCTGACTGCCTTGAAGCTTTCTCCTAAATATGTGGGTATAATATTGTTTATTAAAAAAAGAGTGTATTGCCTTTAGTCATAAAAAAACCCTTTATTTATAAATATGTCTACAAAATTATATTTGTTCCTTGAAAGATGTATAAATATCAACTTAAAAGTATGAGAACTCCACAAATAATATATTTCCAGTGTTTTCAGTAGCATAATTGCCATAAATGTCAAAGTGAAGCCACTTTACTATGGTTTTATGTGTGGCTGTCAGAACACATTTTTGAGTCAAGCTGTTTTTTTCCCTTGTTTTCTCATTTTGCCTTTTTTAGTATGATCATTTTCTTCTTTGTACTTTACAATAAAACAATCACCTTTTTTCTTTTAACTACAAATTAATGCAGGAGGAAAAAAACAGAACACAGCTATATAATCTAAAATTATAAAAGAGCAATATTCTTTCTTCAATACACAATCACATCAAAAATAGCAAAATTGTTATAAAAATTAAATATCAGTGCATCATTGTTAAATTACTATGGGTCAATTGGTTGGTTTGGCATAGAAAGTTTCATTTACATTCAGCATTTCTTTACCACTTTGTTTAAAATTATCAAATACTGACCAGTGATGAAGTGAATGATTTCAAAGGAAATATTTTCACTGTCATCCTAAGGAAACAAGATGGTTTCAAACATCCCATCCTATTTTCTGGAACAAGTAAATGATGCCATTTTCGAAAAGTAATCCATTCAAAATGATCATCAGACACAGTTTGCGGCTAGTATTCAAAATGACTGCAAAACAAAAGAAAAACAGAATGTGGCAGGGTTCCCAATAGATTTCCATAATGATAAGAAACAAATTAGTATGGACAAATGCTATTTCTCGTTAATGAGATGACCTGGTTTTGGCTCAGAAGCTAAACAGGGATGGGCTTACTTAGTGTTTGGCTTTCCTTGCTGAGCACAATTGCTCGTTAGTATCCTTTGCACATTAGGAAAATCATTAATTCAGTAATATTCTATTCTGGTATTCTTTTCAAATATAGTAATTTAATATTAATAGTGATATTTATGCCCAAATCAGTATTATATTGGCATAGGTTAAATAGTTATTACATTTTATTTTAAAAACTTGACATTTGGAAAGGGATCTTCTTATGCATCTGATAAAGACAAATTAGGGGGAAAAAATTCAAAATTACTGCACCAGAAGTGATGCTGTTTGGATTACTTAAAAACTCAGACACTATAGAGAATATAGTACTTAAGAACATATCTGAAATTTACTGATATTTCATTGGCAAAGAACTGGAAAAATAAACAAATTCCAGGACAGAAAAGGATATTGTATATGAATAATGTCATTCTTGTTTATTTTTCCAAGACAAAATTAACAACAAAATCTAGATACAGAGACTACTTAAACATGTTATATATTTAAACCATTGTTTTAATTACGGTTTTTAACTAGAATCAAAGATTATGTTTGCAGTTTTTGCTGTCTTATGCATACTGTTTCAATTTCTATGTATTTAGGGTTTTAATAAAGAAATGAAGTGCCTCTTTCAAGAATTTCAGTACTGCTGTATGTCTATCTGTTTCAAGTAGTGGAAACTCTGCTGGAAAATCTACCCCTGAACAACATTATTGTAATAGTGAAGTTAAATTAGAAAAATACCTCTAATTGCTTGAAAGTTTGACATCAATACAAATACTTTAATGAGCTTGAGACACAGATGGGTGTAGTCATGCTCCCAAATAACTGCTGGAATCAGTAGAAGTTTTCCATAGCTGGATAACAGCAATGCTTTCAGAAGAAATATGAAATTTGCTTTGGTTTTCAGAACATCAGATCTTGCTAACCACAGAGCAGTGAAGATGCCAGTCAAAAAGGCAGTTTGTTCTGAATGGGAGATGGGTATAAGTAGAAAAAAAATCATTTAGAGAAAGAACTGATATCATCAAAAGTTCCTTAAGTAGCTATATAGTATTTTACTACATCTTACGCACATGCGTTTTTAAATTTTCTTTTGGAAGGCATGCATTGGGTTTAGATTAGGCATAGGAGTTTGTAAGTTAAACATCATAGTTTCAAGCCATTTAACATGTGAACTGTCCAACCCTAGGTAGTAAAGCTTCACTGGCCAATTTTGGATTGACAGAAGCTACCGTATATACTCGAGTATAAGTCGACCCGAGTATAAGCCGAGGGACCGATTTTCCCACAGAGAACTGGGAAAAATTGGTGACCCGCGCATAAGCCGAGGGGGCATTTTGGCTGTTCCTCCCTGGCCGCCGCCCCNCCGCCACCGCTGACTCGAGTATAAGCCGAGGGGGGCATTTTTCAGCCCCAAAAATGGGCTGAAAAACTCGGCTTATACTCGAGTATATACGGTAGCTGAAAAGTTAAGGCTGCCATATTCAGGCTGTAAAAATCTGACAGCCACTAGATGACAACAATATGTAATAGCTTACATATATCTCTTGCTTGCCATCTCTTGATTTTTACAGCCCAGATATAGTAGAGCAAAGAAAAGCAGGTTCTCTTGCTGTTACAGCAATTATTATTATTTACTGATTTTGTTTTATTGCTGATACTCAACATATCTCCTAGCAGTGTACAAAGAAATAAAGATTAAAAACTTCAAAGCAGCATCAATATATATATTATGATGCCCAGGATTCGCATTTTTAGTATTATTAAGGGGACACACACACACACACACACACACAGACACACACATTACTATAGCACTAATCAATAGTTAATCATATATGTAAATAGAACTCTGAATACCATGAGAATTATATATCAGCATCTTTGATTTTTACAAATTGAAATAATTGTATTTTACGCAAATACAATATCCAGCTTTGAAGAATCTGAGATAACTGTTTTTTGAAAAGCCATGGGATTTAGGATTGAACAGAGATTTGCACTTGGGTCTCCTAGGCCCTTTCTAGACACTATCTCCTGGAAAATATTTACATTCATAAATATTGTGCAACATATTTTTACATATGCTAACTCATGGTATGCTGCAATCTTTTGACTGTCAGATATCTTCCAGCCAAATTCAACGAAAGCAAGAGAAATACTGGCTACATGAATATATGTCACAACACATTTAAGAATTTTAGTACAATTGAAGCAACTGTCAGTGTTTAAATGCTGCTGTTTAAAAGGACAGAAACAATAAAAGGATAGAAGCAATACAGTATCTCCTTCATTGGTAGCAATATTTGCACACAGCAAATATTTGATCTTACCCAAAGATGCTATTCCAAACATTCGATAGAAATCCCATTCTTTGGCATATCTAATTAAATCATCAGGATCAGTACTTTGACTTGAATCCTGTAACTGCAGCCACCTGAGATAAGCTTCGCAAAGTAAACAGAATATGCAAAGCTTTCCATGAATCTGCAGTGGGAAAGAATATTAATGTCAAATGCAAATACTGTCCAGTCAAAATACTGTATTGACCACAGAACTATAAGCATGATAGGCTTATCACATTTTACTAGTACAATTAAAAAGCCTGTATAGGTCATTTGATCTCCTCCATTGAAGAACAGCTAACCAAGCTATGTGACATGCTTTGAAGTCTTGAATGACTTCATACATTAAAAGTGAATCTGATACAGTATTCAGCTCAGACTGGGATCTAGTCCTAGACTACAACTTAATTCATGGATTTGTACCAGATCCAAAATTTGGTTTTTCTACATATAAAGCCTATATTTCAATTTTACACAATACCTAAATCAATCAGATTCTTAGTGATATGGGTTGAATTTATTACAGCTTATGATTCTACAAGGTGTGGTGAATACTGTGTTGACATACAATAAATTCAGTTATTTATAGCTAGGTAGTCCTCGACTTACAACAGTTCATTTAGTGACTGTTCAACGTTACAATGGCACTGAAAAAAGTGACTTATGACTGTCCTTCACACTTACGACCTTTGCAGCATCCCCATGGTCACATGATCACAATTCAGATGCTTGGCTGATGGCTGCAGTGTCCTGGAGTCATTTGATCAGCTTTTGCGATCTTCTGACGAGCAAAGTCAATGGGGAATCCAGATTCACTTAACAACCATGTTACTAACTTAACAAATGCAATGATTCACTTAACAACTATGGCAAGAAAGGTCGCAAAATGGGGCAAAGTCACTTAACAAATGTTTCACTTAGCAACATAAATTTTGGGCTCAACTGCAGTCGTAACTCGAGGGCTACCTGTAATGATACACTGAAAAACTATAACAAAACCCAGCTTTACACCTTGCCCAGTATAGTGAGGCAAATTCCAGTGTTCAGTACTCAAACAGAGCCTACTGAAGTGACTACCTTACCCCCTGAGCTCCTGCCATTTCTTACCATGCTTCTCTGTTGACCTATTTCCACTACAAGTTCCTCCACTAGGCTTACTATGATAGACCCGGCCAGATCCGTATCTCTACGCCAAGTGACTACTAAACATCAATCTGAAGATGGACATAAATATGATATTGTTAAAATATCATATTGTGAAGCATAAATACATATTAGCTATCAAACCCAATATGGACACATGCACTAAGCTGACTTCCAAATGACTATGGTATAATTATAGATCAGGCAGCCCAGGCAGATAGTAAAGAATGAAAAGAGTAGAAGCAACAATAAGAGAAGAGTGTCAGAAGAGTGGCTGATAGTTGTAGGTCAAAGGATCATTCAAGGCAGGAATCAGGAAGTTCCAATCAAAACAATTTGCCTACTAAACAACAGCATTAAACTGCAATATATAGATAGACTTCCATTGGACCTGGTTATATCCGAGACCGCCTTCTGCCACAGATTGCTTCCCACCGGCCGATACGCTCCCACAGAGAGGCCCTTATCAGGGTGCCATCGGCCAGACAGTGTCGGCTGGCGACCCCCAGGGCAAGGGCCTTCTCTGTCGGAGGACCCACCCTCTGGAACGAGCTGCCCCCAGAGATCCGGGTTATTCCGGATCTCCCCTCCTTCCGTCGCGCCCTTAAGACCTGGTTGTTCCAGCGGGCAGGACTGGCCTAGGGGTATTTTAAATTGGTTTTAGCCAAATTTTAGTAGTAGCGGCCGATTATATATTTATTTTTAATGATTTTTTAAAATTTCTACTGTATTGTATTAAATTGTTTTTAACTGGCTGTAAGCCGCCCTGAGTCCTACGGGAGAAGGGCGGGGTATAAATTTAATAAAATGAAATGAAAATGAAAATGAAACAAGACAGATGCTATGAATTCTCTCTGTATATTATATAATTATGTTTTATAGGGGCTATAGTTGTCCAGTACATCTCCAAAGTGTGCTTTATTTTGACCAGTTCCTCGATCAGGACAGAACTACAAACTTTTAAACTTTCACAAGTTAAATCCAATATTGCAATTTTTAGAATAGGAAGCCAATTAAAGTTAATATTGCCAAGTCCAAAACAAATTAGCCTTTTCATTAGCTTGGAGCAAGATTGACAGATCCTATAGCAAACTAAGACAAGAAGCAGACACAACAGAAACTTACATTTATTTTTGTATTGAATAAGATATGTCTGTAAGCTTGTGCTTTGCATAAGATAGCATTAATTAAGATGATGACAGTATCATATTCTATATATTTGTCCACTGGCTTCTGGCAGGATTTCTGAAGGTAACAAAACAAAAGCAAAGTAATATTTCCAGTAATATTATAGAGAAGAAACATTTATTAAAAGCTCTTAAGACTTTTGAAATTTCTGTTATGAATCAAGGGTTATCAGAGATATTATCTTCAGTTTTATATTGTAGTTTTCACAAAGTAACATTTCTGTCACAACAGCAAAAGAAAGTAATATTTTCATTTTACCCAGTATTAAGTTCAGCAAGAGTAAAGGGGAATGATTTGAAGAAATAATAAAAACAATTTAAACAGAAATAAGTAATAGTCACATTTTTAGCACAATATAAACATATTTAAATAACAGGTTGTGATTAGGGGAAAAAATATAAAAGAAATAAAATGAAAAAGGCAAGGCTATTTCAATGTTTTTGCTTACAAGCACATTTTTTCTCTTTTGCTGTTTTAAAAATTATTTTATTATTTTTAACCATTATGTTAAATCTCAGTTTTTGAATTCTCACTCCAATCCTAATGCAACAGTAGTAGTAATAATAATTTTAAAAGATAAATAACATAGATGTATGTATTCTGTTCTCCCCCAATGTTTTACTTTTTGTTTTTCCTGTTGTTTTTTATTTAATTAATGAAAATCAAAACTATATTTAAAAAATTAGCCCAGGTACAGATTTAAATAGTTCAGGCACACAACAAATGCAAAGTATACATTGAACCACAAGAAATAAAGGAACGGTCTGTAGAGGTTTCTGAAGCTAAGACTGAAAATATGCATTCATTTGTGAAGAACTTTTAACTTTTACTGGTTCCATTATACACTATCAAAATACATATATGCATTTGAAACCTAGACAAAGAGAAGTTTATGCTTTGTTTACAAGATAATATATGATGATCATAAAAACATGACCTGGTCTTTCAACACAGGAAGTACAAATGCATTCCAGACATACACCAGTCATAGATCATGGGAGGGTTGCATGCTGCAGCAGTGGAAGAGAACTTTAAAACTGGAGATTATTAGGAAATGCACAGCAATATTTATCTTAAAAATAATACAGAGCTGAAAAAGATAAGGATTTAAAAAGGACAAATTAACTTTTTGGTGGTTGAGGGCTATATTTTAATATCTGAGGGAACTTTAAGGCGTGCAGAGATTAGGGTGAGTACGCAAGATGGACATAGCTATGCTGCAAAGGTAACATGTTTATAGTCTTTAGAATAGTTGTTCGTTACATTTGCTGGAACTATATCATGGCATATTTACTTGATATTTTTTTTTATATACAGCATTTGGCAACCTCCAGAATAAAAATCCAGACAGCCACTTCTAATCCATAGAATATATTTGATCAAGGAAAAGGATGGTATCTCACATTCCGATTGACACCATTATTACATAAATATACATTTCAACTATTATTTTTATGCAAATGAATATTAACTGCTATGTTTGATTGCATTTTTGCTATAAAACTTCTTTAATAAAATAAAACATAGTGGAGATTATGACCAATAAGCTCCATTGTAGTTTTTAATATCAGAAAAACCTGTTTTATTAGATTTGAATAATCTGCTACAGAAGGTTGATACTGGAAAGATACAACTGTAATTAAAACATCTTATAATGTATTCACTCTTCCTACTGCAGACCTACGGAATACAGCTCTTCTATTAGTTATACTAGCTGTCAATTGCCATTACTGTAGAAACTACAACACTTTGCGGGGGCTTTCTCTTTCATGAGGGGAGTGCATCTAACTTAAATGATATTTTCCTTTCTCCCCAAAAACCTATTTCAAAAAATAAAGGAGGCTGAAGGATACTGGCTGTGCTGCACTGAACTGTAGTCAAAGGGTGAAAATAGCAGAAACAGGAAAAGAACAACCCTGTAAGCCAGGGAATTTCCATTACTTACTGTTGCTCAATTACGGGCCTTTCATTCCCTTGAATTTCAATCCCATGTGACATAGTCCATGACAGGCCTCTTCACTCTTTTGGAGCCTCTGGGCACCTTTGGATTTCTGAGAACATGTCACACTCTCTCCTCATGAGATCTAATTTTCAGTCACCTAATTATCCTCTTCTTTTTTTATCTATTCTATTTTCTCTTTAACAGTTTGGTGCCCAAAAATGAAAATAATACTTGAGCTAAATCAAACCAATCCTGAATACTGTATAGTGCAATGATTGTTTCTGAGATCTGGAAACCACACTTCTATCAATGCACCCTTAAGTTATATTTGTCTGTTTAAGCATGTTGACTGCTGACTCACATTCTAGTTGTAACCAATTCCAGATGATTGTCATATATACTGTTATGAGTTCACATATACAGCAATGCTTAAGTTTAAAAATCATTTTGAATTTTCAATGTTTCTGCATCAATATGATCTCAAACCTGATCTGTTCTGCAGTTACAACTCCTAAAACTAGACAAACAGAACCCAACAGAACAACTGTCAAAAACATTATACTGGTTCATTTATTTATTGAGATAAATGTTCCAAAACTTCATATTTGTATATGCCAAAAGTATATGAACTTTGACTTTCAGTAACTAGTGTGCCCCTTTGGGGCAGCAATAACTGCAACAAAATATTTCCAGTAACTGATCTATCTTGCACATCAGCATGGAAGAGTTTTAGCCCATTTCTCTTTAAAGAACAGCTGCAAAAGATATTGGTGGGCTCACATGAACTTTCCCTTCAGGTACTTCCACATTTGTTTAGGATTAAGGATTAAGGTTAATGTACGACTCTGACTCGGCCATTCGAAAACATAAAAGTTTCTTCTGCTTTAATCATTTTTGGGTTATACAGCTTGCATGTTTTGGGTCACTGTGTTACTGCAAGACCCAACATACCTACAAGAGTATGTTGAGTATCCCCTGCACATTTCCAGAAATACAAACACTAGTCTTACTTTAGATAGAGGAATCGTCTGAGCAAATGTCTTGCAAGTTTAGAGTTGGATCTCTATAAGCCAGGGTTTCCCAAACTGTGAGATGTACCTCCTTTGGAGCAGTGCAGAGTCCAGGAGAGGTACGGTATGAAGAACCTTTTAGTTACATTGGTAAAATAATTTCAGCTTTCCCACAGTTTCACTGTGTTATTGTCATTGCGCATTTGCGTTCATTTTGGTGTTGCATTTTTAGGAGAGGTGTGGGAGGTGTGACGCTAAAAAAAAAAATTAGGAACCCTTGTTTAAAAGCTTTCAGATATCTTCAGGCTGTAAAGGACTTCATATTGAAGAGCAATAAAACCTATGAATAAAATGTAAATAGCACTAAGTCTAAAGGTAAAACTTCAAACTCGGAGGGAATGTCGAGACACTTCCCGTCAAGGATTAGGCTAGGAATCTGAAGATCCTCTTGGATCCGGGACTGATATTGAATAACTACATGATATCAGTGCAAGGTGCATCTATCAATTCGAAATTCCTGCTTCTTCACATAACTCACGCAGATAGAGATCCGCAGCACACCACGTTGATAATCCTTGTAGAGCTCAGTCGCTTTTGTACTGCATTCAACACAGCGGTAACAAGCAGACCCCTCCATTTTCCCCCCGAGAAAAACTCTTGCCAAGGGTGTTTTGCTTCGTTCGCTTCCGGATTCCGCTCGCAAAGCCGAAAGCCTCGCGGAGCATCTCGGCATTCGTAGTTTTGCGCTCGATACACAGCCCAGCGGAATTCTGGGCGCAGAACTACAATTCCCAGAAAGTAACTCGCTCGCCCACTAGTTGCCGGGACTCTGAGAGAGGGAAACGCGAAAAAAAAGGTAGAATAATCTGCGCAGGCGTGGTAGGAAGATGGCACCTGCTTGTGGCAGTCGGGGCTGCTGGCCGAGCGTGGCGGCGCTAAAGCTCTTTTGGACTGTGCTGGCGGTTATCCGGCCGGTGCTGGTTCTGGCTGAGCAGTATCCCTCCTTGTCTCTGCGCCACCAGCAAGGGAGCAGTTGCTGCCCGGGCTTTTGGGAGGCTGATTGGGATGGGGAGCAATACGCGGCAACTGCCGGAGACGGCGGTGAGTAATGAGAAAAAAGGAACCGGAGAGACCGACCGGGCAGTTTCTCGGGGGAGAGCCTAGGATGGCCTGGGCCGGTTTCGACTGCAAGGATGGCGAGTTCAGAGCGGAGTGCATCGTTTCGCCCCAAGGTTCAGGAATCAGGGAATGACTCCCATTGGTGTTTTTTTCCAAACGTGGTTGTGCATTTCAGCTCCCAGAAATTCTCGTGCTGGCTGGGGAATTCTGGGAGTTGAAGTCTACACCTCTTAAAGTTGCCAAGCTTGAAAAATTGTGGGCTGCATGGTATCTGAAGAAGGGCTGGAATCCCAACAGGAGCTCTTGGAGACGTCTGAACGCGTTCTTCCAGGCTGCATTTTTTTCCCCTAGGGCAGGGGTAGGCAACCCTGGCTCTTTTATGACTCGTGGACTTCAACTCCCAGAATTCCTGAGCCAGCTATGCTGGCTCAGGAATTCTGGGAGTTGAAGTCCACGAGTCATAAAAGAGCCAAGGTTGCCTACCCCTGCCCTAGGGGCTGAAATGCCATCTTGTCTGGTGAGGGAGTTCCCACCCTTATAAGGATGAGGTGGCCCTGTTGCAGGACATTTGAAGATGAGCGGGGCCGCACCCCGTGACAACAACTTTAGGCACATGCCAGTTAATGGATTTTGCTATCTTGGTCAGTTGGGTGGGATGAGTTTTGGTTAGTAGGCTTGATGAAGACAGGATAGTTAGTTAAATTTGGCTTGACCTTAGCCCTTCCTTGGATTTGAGAGAGTAAAGAGAGAGAAGATTGGCTATTGAGTCTAAGAAGTCGGAAATATCTTTTTGAAGGAAGTGGTGGTAGTAACTTCTTCAAAAGAGATGATTCGGCGGCTATGATGAAATCTTGCCTGAATTGGGAAAATAAAAACAATTGTAGGCTGGCTGCTAACACCACCTTTTCTGGTTTGATACTTGAACTGATCTTGATCATTTCAAGACTGATTTTCTTTACTCTGGCTTTAGGCCTGGTTTGGCAGATATCACCTTAAATGCCCTCTCCCAGTTCGGTTAGTTGTTTGGGATCCCTCAATATATTTTCATATTGGTGATGACACCCCTTCTGGACCAATTCAAAATGCTATGTTTGACCTAAAAACTGGTTAATAGCTCTGACCAGGTTATTTGAAGGAAAATTATTGTTTATTTACCAGGCTCCTAAGATTCTTCCCTAGGCCTTTCGCTAGTTACTCTAGTCTAGACCAGTGAGGTATGAGAAATTGTGAAGCAGTTGAGAAAGAAATGGGAGGAACTCTAGACATAACAGTCAACAAATGGGAGAATATCTTGTTAGTAGCTTATTTCATAAATGGCAGTTCAGTCCAGATTGCAACAGGCTCAGGATAAGAGCTGCAAAATATTTAAAGAGACTGCACCTCAATGAATTAATTAATAGGAGTGGGCTGGAGATGGAAGTTTATGTGATTCTTTCTACTTGATTGTGCCCTTCAATATGGAGCTAGACTGGTGCTAGTGGCATGTTATTCCTCCATGAACGATAACAGAAGAACCAGAGATAAGTTGTTTTTTTTAAAAAAATGTACACCATTCTGAGTGAATGTGATCAGAAGAAGAAGGTATTCTGTTAGGTGTGATGATGGATGAGGGAGAACAGAAAAAAGTGATCAGGCCATTCAGTGATCATAGAATAAGTTAACATAGTGAATGAGAATCACTTAGAAAAACTGTTCTGGATAATGTATGTGATTTAAGCATATGTTTATTCATAAATATACATGGCAAAAGACTGGATGTAAAGTTAAAGCATAATTGATTATGATAGAGATAATTTATGAGGGACACAATGGTGGGGTCTGAATGTGGGACAGAACATTTTTTATAGTGTCAAGAATGAATCTTTGGAAGAAAAGAAAAATAAGGAAAAAAACAAAAATAAAAGTGAAACAATTGCAGGAAAAGAAAACGGGGCCTTTATGAAAAAGTATTACTAGATTACTCTTCCCAAAAGAATGAAATGGACTTAAAGAAAAAGAATGCGGAAGTTGGAGCAGCAAACAAAATTATGGGGAGCTGCAGAAGCGTTTGGAATTTTAATGTAATTGGATATATGAAAAACAATAATTGGAAGTATAAAGTGGAGAAGGCTATGAAGGGAAAACATTCATGTAAGATTTTAAAAGGTAAAGGTTTCCCGTGCTCAGTCACGCCAGACTCTAGGGCATGGTGCTCATCTCTGTTTTCTAGCTGAGGGAGCCAGCGTTGTCTGAAGATGCTTCTGTGGTCATGTAGCTAGCATGACTATATATACTGAGGCGCATGGAATGCTGTTACCTCCCACCTTCCCACCAAATTGGTATATATTTATATGCATTTGCATGCTTTTGAACTGCAAGGTGGGCAGAGCTGGGACAAGAATGGGAGCTCATCCTATTGCACGATGTTTGAGTATCGAACTGCCAACCTTCTGGTTGACAGCCCAGCATCTTAACCACTAAGCCACCATGCCCCCTCATATAAGATTGCTGCAAAAATGAGGATGAGAAAAATAGTTTGAATAATATAT